TTTTTTTCCCCCCCCCCCCCCCCCTCACCTTTCAACGGTGTACCAACATCGCAGCTTTTTTGGCGCTTCTTCTCTTTCTTTTCATGTACCAGCGATTCAGCTTGCTGTCCAGTCACGGACGATCGGCATCGCGACGCGAATGAAAAGTTTTTCGCCGGTGCAAACATAAAAAAATAAATAAGAATGAAGGGGGTTGGGTGCATAGGAATGGGGGGGAAAACTATACAACACTGGCAAATTTCATTCGAAACACGCGTGCGTTCACGGCTGTAGTGTCTATCTCGGTGAGTCACGTAGCAACACCCAAAGCGCGAGAAATGCTTCTCGTCTTTTACATTGGTTGTGTAAATACGTATGTACACGGGGATGTGTCGGTACAGAGAATTGCACGTTTGAAATCAAGATACCACACGTATGCGAATTTCGGCGAGATTATGTTGAGCGAAATTATATTCATTTTGGGTAATTTGTTGTCTTTATTTCGGGAGTTTATCCTCAGTTGGGGGGAGGTAATTCGAAAGGGTTGTCCAGAATTTTGGACGGATGAAATAATTTTTTAATCGTCAAATTTGGCGGTTGAATTGCGCAAAAAATTTATGAATCTCTTGCGGGGAGTATTTGATTTTTTTTTATTGAAAAAAGAAAATGGTTTTTAGGATTTAAGGGTAACCAAGTATTTTCGGTATTTTTTCTCTGAAAATTACGTGCATTTTCTGTAAATAATTTATAAACAATCAATTTTCAACAAGAACAATTTAAATTATTTATTCAAATTATTTATTTAAAAACAATGAATGTTTAAAAAAATAATAATTCTGTTAAAAAAATTATAATCCCTAATATGAATTAAAAAGATAGATAAAATCATTGAATATGAGACGCTAATTCCGCTCATAAGTAGAATTTCGTGTTTCAACGTCAAACAAAGTCAGAAGTACGAGGTTCGTACAACGTACTCGGTAATTTCCAAGAAAATTACTGGATCATAAAGTCAATTCCCGGAGTAAGCGGTTCGTGATCCATAGGAAGTTCTCTGCCCCTCGAACTAGCAGTCGGATACCGAAGTTTCGGTAGGACTTCCCAATTCTGGATGTTCGCGGAAGCGTGAGAAGTGGGCAAAGTACTCCGGGGAAACGCCGAGAGGGATGCCTCGATGCATTTCCAAGGACATTCTCCAGCTTTGTACTGGGGACGGCACGGTGGCGTAACACAGGGAATCAGAGTAATTGGGGTTCACTGTGCCAGCCAGCGGGTGTCCTGAAGACTTGCCGCGCGTTTGATATGGTTTGACGCTTGTGGAGAAGGCGGTTGTTGGCGGCGAGACGATTTATCTCAATTGAATGTTCAATGTTCAAAGGTGAATTTTTAATTGTAAATCGTACAGGTTTAATGTTCAATGCTGGATATCGAATATTGAATAGTGAGTGTTGATTGTTCAATGTTGAATATTGAATGTTTCATATCGGATATTCGAGGTTGAAAGTTGAATTGTGAATGCTCAATATTGGATGTTCAAGTTCAGCATTCACTGGTGCATGTTGAATGTTCCGTATTGAGTGTTCAAGGTTTCATGTTGAATGCTCAATATCGAATGTTGAATGTTGAAGGTTCCATATCGGATGTTCAAGGTTCAGTGTTCATGTCTGAATGTTCAGGATTCGATGTTGAATGTTCAGTATTGGATTCTTAAGGTTCAATGTTTAATGTTGAACTTGGAATGTTCCGTATCGGATGTTCAAGGTTTAATGCTGAATTGTGAATGTTCAATATTGAATGTTCGAGGTTGAATGTTGAATATTCAATATTGGATGTTCAAGGTTTAATGCTGAATTATGAATGTTCAATATTGAATGTTCGAGGTTGAATGTTGAATGTTGAATATTCAATATTGGGGGTTCAAGATTCAATATTGAATTACGAATGCTTAATATTCAATATTAGATGTTCAAGGCTCAATGTTCAACGTGAAATATTCCATATCGGATGTTCAAGGTTCAGTGTTCATGTCTGAATGTTCAGGATTCGATGTTGAATGTTCAGTATTGGATTCTTAAGGTTCAATGTTTAATGTTGAACTTGGAATGTTCCGTATCGGATGTTCAAGGTTTAATGCTGAATTGTGAATGTTCAATATTTAATGTTCGAGGTTGAATGTTGAATATTCAATATTGGATGTTCAAGGTTTAATGCTGAATTGTGAATGTTCAATATTTAATGTTCGAGGTTGAATGTTGAATATTCAATATTGGATGTTCAAGGTTTAATGCTGAATTGTGAATGTTCAATATTGAATGTTCGAGGTTCAATGTTGAATGTTGAATATTCAATATTGGAGGTTCAAGATTCAATATTGAATTACGAATGCTTAATATTCAATATTACATGTTCAAGGCTCAATGTTCAACGTGGAATATTCCATATCGGATGTTCAAGGTTTAATGCTGAATTGTGAATGTCCAACATTAAATGTGCGAGGTTGAATGTTGAGTGTTGAATACTCAATACTTGATGTTCTAGGTTCAATATTGAATTATGAAAGTCCAATGTTCATTCTTCAACGTTTAAGGTTCAAGGTTCAACAGTGAATGTTCAATGACGAATATTAAAAAAAGTTTTAGGTTTAAAAGACAGTGAAAATTCACGCTCGACTCACCCAACATTTTTTCCCCAAAAATTGTTCATCTCAGAGCACTTCTACGATGCGCAGGGGATAATGTTCCATAAAATCCGTCTCTGTGAAAGAATCGTTCGAAATGGTGAGAGATTCAACAAAACTTGTGAGAATGCATTTCCCGTTTTATTTCCCATCAAGATGAAAAATGTTACTCCAAGATTTTTTTTGAACTCAACAACCGTGAAGATTAAACGGAGCCCAGCGTCTTGTGTCAAGTCGGGTCCAAATGAACGAGAGAGTATAAACCCGAGCACACTGCTGACTTTCAGAAGAGTTTCAAGGAGTAGAGGTGGAAAATCTAATTAGCGGATACGAGGCGTCTTGAGAGTGGTGTGGCAGAGTAGCTGTGTTAGAGTATCTGGTGTTGGGGTATTCTCCCAACTATCTTTGCAATCGATAATTAGTAATTAGAAGTAGAATTGAGAATGGACGTGGGGGTTAATGTGAGGAACGATCTGGT